AAAGATTGAAGGTTTTGTAGGGATAATTGGAGATTTCAACTCGAAGTAAGTATAGATTGCTTTCAATCATCAATTTCTCTTTAATGGCTTGAATTAAACTTGAGATGAGACATCCTCCATAAATTTAGGGTTTGATGATGAGTAATCCATTTTATAAGTATTCATGACTCTTGTCAGTGTGGGTGATAGAAATTAATCTTCATGATAAGTTAAAAACTCATTCTTTTTTTGGGTGTTGGAGCTAGATGATGCATATGCATGCATATATGTATAATTACATAGTGAGAATGAAGAATTTATAGAGGATTAGAGATGTAGAGGCTCAATGAGCAAGTCTTGATCTTAATTGGTTAAAACCACATGTTTATATGTTTATATGCTATGTTTTTTGAGTGCATCTACCATGAATTTGGTTGTGGGACTACCCCTTGCACACTTAGAAATGTTGAAGTTTCGAACTAAAAAATAGGGTAAATAGCCGCACGTGCGGGACCCATAGCCACATGTGCAGGAGACTCAGTCGTATTTGCGGAGCTCATAGCCGCACGTGCAGAAAACAAGGGAAAATGATGGATGCATTCTGCTAAAAAGGCACGTGCGGCGGGGACTCTCGTACGTGCAACCCAAGCTGGGAAATTCTGTAATCTTCTTATGAGTTACTTAAGCCTCCGGAGGTGTCTAAATGCCCGTTTGATATTTCTTTTAATACATTTAATTACCCGTAACTTAGCGAATCGAATAATGAAAAATAAAGAGAAACTAAGGAAAAATGATGTGCTCATGATTTATATGCTGTGTGTAGGGCATTCGCAGGAGGGAAACGGCATCCACCTGCATCACAGTGAGTGGTAGTAGCTGAATAGAATGTCCTATGCAAATAATACATTGTGCATATGTTGTTTAAGATCTTATTCACACTTTAGTGAATGCCTTATGTCAATCTGTAGAACTTTGGTATGTGATTTATGGACCCAAGGTCGTTTTGTCTGTTAAAACGATGGGCCTGAGGCCGTTCTGCTATTCTATTGGGCCTGAGGCCGTTCCGTATATTGTTGGGCCTGAGGCCGTTCTACATTCCAATGGGCCTAAGGCCGTTCTGCTCAATATGGGCCCGAGGCCATTCAGAAATGGGGAAGAAACAAATGAGATTATGGACTATGAATATGCAATATTAACTCATGTTCATACTTTTAATTTACTCGTACTGCTATCATTCACTGAGCCTTGCTCACTCTACTCTTCTGAATGTTTTGTAGGCAATTAGCTTCCACGTCAACCCTAGGTCAGCCCAGCAGTCTATCACAGAACCCGTTTTGCTAAAACACCCAAAGGAACTCTTTTGTTGCATTTTTTTGGAAAACCTTGTGATCACATATATTACTAATTTTGGAAACAAAGGATATGTATATAAATATTGTTAATATCCAACTTTCAAATGGGTCTTTTGTAATGTTGTGTGCGTATAACAATGCTACGTGATCCTGGCATTTAGTCACAGCTCAATGAATGTTTATACTTTGATTATTTTCGCTTCCGTTTAGGCCCCCAGATTGAGTATCATTTAAAATAGCTAAGTTAAGGCCTGAGTTAGGCTGGTCATGTCCAAACTTTTGGGGGCAGGTTTAGGTCGTGACACTTAAGCTCCTCTGCATGCATCCTAATAAGAAAGTAAAATGGTAAGAACCCAACATTCTTTGAATAGTCAATTACAAAGGAATATTTAGCTCATCATACTTACTCTAGATAAGGCTAGACTTCTGCACTGTTTATCAGCACACATCAATGAGCAATTTGCAACACATCATCTAGTATCGCTATTGATTTTCCCAAAGTAATTGGGCGTCCTTCTAGTATTGTTTCACGTTCAAACTCTATATTGTGATTATGTCGAGCACCTATTTTAGCTGCTTTCTTCATATATGCACTACAAAATTGCATACACTCTTTAGCTAGATAGCATTCTGCAATGCATCCCTCAAGTCTTATGTGATTTTTAACATAACCCTTGAGTATCTTCATGTATCTAAACAACAATAAAATTCAACTTAACAATTTTTTTAGAAGTTTATTTATGTTAGAGAAAAAATAATATTTATATTTAAAATATGATATAGACTCACCTTTCAAATGTGTTCATCCAACGAAATTGCACTGGTCCACATAAGCGAGCTTCTCGCCCTATGTGAATTGTTAAGTGTACTATAATATCAAAAGAAATGATGGAGGGAAGAATCTTTCTAACATACACTAAGTCTCAACAACATCATTTTCAAGTTGTTCTTTCTTATTCTTATCAATCACCCTTTGATATAACTGATTGAAAAATGAGCACATTTGGAATATTGCATTCCTTGGTCCTTTTGGAAAAAGTCCTCTCAATGTGACTAACAACAATTGTTGTAACAAGACTTGATAATCATGTGACTTAAGTCCAACTAACCTGCATTCTTGTAATCAAACACAATTAGCAATATTTTAGCTATAACCATCAGGCAACTTCAAATCTTGTAGCCCAGAACAAAAAATCTTCTTCTCATCTTTTGAAAGTGTATGTGATGTTGGTGGCAAGTAAAAATGGGATCCTTTATCCTTTGCATGCAATTCACTTCTAATTCCCATTTCTACGAAATCTTTATGAGCCTTAAGACCATCTTTTGATTTCCCCTTAACATTTAAAAGTGTGCATAAAATGCTTTCACAAACATTTTTCTCGATGTGCATCATCTCAATGTGCATCACATCCAAGTTTTGATGTCAAAGCAATGCCTGTAACATCAATCAAAGATTTATTATTCAAAAAAAATTGGAAGAAAAAGTTTAACTAAGATTAACGATAGACAAAAGAATATGAAATCCTACTTTCCAAGGACTTACATCCCAATATAGTAGATTGAAAAATATGGACTTCTTCTTCCATGGTTGGACTTACTCTAACTCTTTTTGGTCTTTTTTCTTTTTTGGTTTGGGCCCTTTGTCTTTTCCTTTCCTTTGTAGTTTTTCCCTAATTAGTTTCAATGTCCCTTACTACATGTAACACATCAGATCCACTCAATGGTTTAGGCTTCCCCCCAAGTTCTTGCTTTCCATCAAACCAACTTCTTTTCATTAGAAATGGATGATCCGAAGATAGAAATCGCCTGTGGCCCATGTACAATGTCTTCTTACTGTGATTCAACCACTGCGAGCATGTGTTAATGCTATTTACAAGACATGCAACTTTCCCTTTTGTGGCACATCCAGCTAAGTTTCCATAAGCTGGAAAATCATTTATTGTCCATATCAACATAGCCTTTAAATTAAACATAGACTTGTTGGCTGCATCATAGACCTCCACACATGGCTGTAGATACACATCTATGTCATTCCCTGGTTTCTTTGGTCTCGATATAAGTAATGTCAACATTATATTTTCCTTTGCCATGCATAACCATGAAGGAAGATTATAAGTCACTAACATCACTGGTCAACAACTGTACGTTGAGCTAAGATTCACAAAGGGATTGAATCCATCTGTTGCAAGACTAAGCCGAAGGTTTTGTGGATCCAATGCAAAAGAGGGCCACTTGTGATCAATTGAATCCCATGCCAATGAATCAACTAGATGTCACATCTTTCCATCTTGACTTTTGTGAGTGGAATGCCAAATTAATTGTTCTGCTTTTTCTTATGACCTGAGCATTCTTCTAAATCATGGAATTATAGGAAAATAACGTAACACCTTCGTTGGAACCCCCTTTTTAATCTTTTTAGTTCACTTATCTACTTTCCAACATGAACAACTGCATTTCGGGCATGCCTCCATATGCTGTAAATCTTTTCTAAATAAACAACAATCATTGACATAAGCATGTATTTCGTCATACCCAAGAGCAAATGCTTTAAGCAACTTCTTTGTTGAATATATAGATTGCACAAGTGTGTTACCTTCTAGTAGCATGTCAGACACTATCCTCAAATGTTCATCAAAACTCTTATCAGATGCCCCATGCATAGCTTTATGCTTGTATAAAGCGACAATTGTTGAGAATTGCTGAGAACTTAGTGTACTTTGTACAACCTAGATATAAAGGAGTTTCAGCATCTTCTAATGCTTGTGTGAACTCACTCTCTCTACTTTCATTTATAGGTTGTGAAAAATCATCGTGTGCATAAACATCTATAAATAACGTATATGTTTCCAGATTTTCAACTTTCTCTTGAACTTCTATAGATTCACTTAGTCATTCCCAATGAAGAACTCATGACGTATATTCAGGATCCATCCCTTCCATGACCAAATGCTCAAAAATAGTATCACAATGCTGTTGTGATAGGTTTCAACAACTTCCACAAGGGCATATGATCATATCGAGATTCCCTAAGTTTGCTTTAGCCATATTGACAAATTTTCTCGCTCTGTCCAAATACTCATCCGATACTCAGAAATCTTGAAATTATTATTAATTCCATCCAAACAAAATGAGTACCTTAACATTTGAAAGCATATTTATGGTTGTATTTAGATATAAACCTTGGAAAATGCACCCATGTTTTGTCCATCTTGAACTTTCCACTTGCTAACAAATTGCATCCACAAAAACTACTCAAATTAGTTACATGCATCAATGCTCAAAATTATTAGCAAATACACTAAGATGATATTTTAGAGTTTCAGATAATCTAGAATCTAGAAATGTAATCAAACACCATTAGTTGACCTGTTTTTTAATCAAATAATCAAATTAACCCAAAGATTTACTTTTTTTAAAAAAAAAATTTAAACCCATTAAGAAATGAATTGAACAAATACAAATTTCATATAAAGACACACATGCATTAAAATATTTGTGTATGCATAGTGTTTTCATATTGGATATGGAAGGATTACATTAAGAATCATCTTATAGTACGAAAGCAGCAATTTCACATAACAAAAAAGAAGGCAATACAATTAAGTTAAGTAGGTTGAAACACTATAACACTTTAAAAACAGTCCAAAAATCCGTATAGGCAAACATACAAACACAAAGCACAATTGGCATAAAGAACACTATTTGAGGGGGGAAAAATCAATTGACAGGAATAGTACGAAGAAGTAAAAAATAATATCATAATGTCCTTTAGAGTCATTTATACCCCATTTCATCCCAAGAAGCAACCAAAGAGTGAATAATTATTTATTGGACTATAATACAACAACAACAAAAACAACAATAGAATAATAAAGCACCTCAGCTTTAGCAAGCCAAGCTGCTGTAGCACCTCAGCTTTAGCAAGCCAAGCTGCTGTAGCCAGAAACCAAATCCAAGACAGTGCTGCAACATGAGTTGTAGCCTCAAAAGTCGAAGGCCCAGCTGCAACAAATCCATGCTGCAGCAAATCAGTGTTCAACCACTGTCACAAACCAGGCCACAGCCCAGGCCAGCCAGGCCGCAGCCCATGCCTCAGTCTAGAACAGAGAGCAGCTAAAGCTGCAGCACTTCAGTCCCAATCTAACACGCACTACTAAAAAAATCACTTTTTGCGACCGCTATAAACCGTCGCAAATAATAAAAAAACAGTCGCAAAAGACCTTTTGCGACGGCCCATGTGACGGCAAATGGGGGTCGCGAATGTGGGGGTGGCAAATACTTTTTGCGACGGCAAAGCAACGGTCACAAATTATTCACGACCGCCTAAACTACTTATGGCGACCACTATTTTTCCGTCGCAAAAAACAAAGAAAAACACTAACATGATTTTTGGCGACCATCTTGTTACCGTCGCAAAAAAATAAAATAAAATAAAATAAAAAGTGTAACGTTAAGCACTCTAAGAGTAGTAATGACAAGAATTTAGACGGTATAGCATTGTAGTTTAATCAAGCATTCCATTTGAGTCTCAAAATTAGAGTCATATGTGAGTTATTACAACTAAAAACTTGGGAAAAGTTCTATTATGAAAAAAATACAATCCATTGGAAAACAACTCTTTGTTGATGTTAGGGTGCGTCTTGAAGAGGACACCTGGATTGCCTCCAGTCTCAACCTGACAGTAAGGCAAGATGTTAAAGCATGCCATTAGATAAAGCATCAGAATTTAAATCTACAAACTCAACTCATGGAGAAAAAAGTATGCACTTCTAAAGATACCACAAAAATTAGCTTTAAAAGGTCATTAATCTTTTAACAGCAGAAATAAACTTAAGGCAACATTATAGTCTCTAAATATGGTGAAGAACTAAGCTCCTGTTTGAATTTCCAACTGAAATTGAATGGGGCCATTCCTTTCTCACAAAAGAATTTAACTTAAAACTCATCAACCTTGAACTGTTATTTCCATAAAGCCTATAAATGACCATATATGAAAAAAATTATAAAATAGAACTCTACTTGAGATTACTCTGTAACACAGTTGACATATAAAAATACAGCAAGATTTAGATAAAATAGGCACGGAACAAGGTGGCGATGAAAGTGGAGAACCCCCATGCGAAAACCATCAGAAATTGCCATTATCTAAATCCTCATCAAGTGACCACATGTTGACAATTGCAGTTCCAAGTTCAAGCAAAGGGAACACAGTTCAGGAGGAAGAAGACATCACTACAAAAACTGAACAAGAAATGGCTGAAGAACAGTCCTCATTTTCCATTCCTGATGCTAAAGGCGGGGGTCAAACTGAGGTAAATAATATAGGTAGTCCAAATGAAGTAGAGAAGCACACCAGGGAAGGTGATTTGATGGGAGGGTTTAAATCAGGCCAGGCATTTAGACAGATACAAAAGATCTACATGTCTCACATCAACCAAATCAGCATAACTTTCACATATCAAGGCTACTCTTTAGACAGATACAAAAGGTGTTTCAATTTAACAGGACTGTTCACAGATCTCAATCCTACGAACTTCATGCAAGTCATTCAAAACTTTCCTCTAAGTGCACAGTATCATGTGAATAAAAGAAAATGACAGAAGAGAACCTGGCATGCCTCTGACAGAGTTGAGAATCCTTCTTCAAAACAAAGCTGAAAGTCAAAATTTTAACATAAAAGACATGTACGGGCAGAATTATAAGGTTCAGCTGAAAAACATACTAAAATGAATTTGGAACCTGTACTCATCACTAACACCATATGAAAAGACTATATCCTGAAACTCTTCAAGCACCGCCACTGCACATGAATTCATAAGGTTTAAAGCTTGGCCATCGTTTGGTTTCTCAAATTCATGACCTTCAGAAAATCACTGACACACACTCATCTGCAACATTTTTCATTATGTAAGATGTTTCCAATGAAACTGAGGAAAGACAGATTTATAGATCCAGCATGCCTTCTTAGTTTTAGAATCAAACATCCTTTCCAACATCACCACATCATGTTAGGCCATGAAAATTAGATTGGGACTTTAAACAGTAATTCTATGGTCCCAGAACTTCTTTCCCAGAAATCTCCTAGAATCCAATTACCATGTGCAATATCAACTACAGCATAAAATTGGGTATGATCACTTGGTTGCAAGAAAAAGAAAACCAATAAATGAGCAGAATTGTACAATCATGAACTAAAAATTATACACGCGAGGTCACATGTATCGGTAATAAGACTGGCCAATACTGACCATAGGGTAGGTATGATCTTTATCTTTAGGAAAAGTCATAAAACTGAACTGTTGAGTTCTAACAAATAGTTGATAACCTGAGGATTGGTCAACTTGGGCTGTCGTCGTTCAAGCCGCCTTAAATGATACTTGTAAGCTACAAAACCAAAAGCACCTTTTGTCGGCCAAAATCGAACAACCTTAAAACATAGAATTTGGAATCAATCAAACCGAAGTTAGAAGTCATGATAAAAAAGCAATTGGTGAAGTACATAGACATAATCAAATGACCATTCATGTTGAAATGAAATGTCAAGTCAACAAAGCCTTGTTCCAACTACTTGGGCTACATGAATCTTGTTTTTCTATTCCACTCAACCAAGGGCCTTGAATCATATACAATGTAACGTAATAAAAGTAGAATCTTCTTGCATAGTAGCTTAAGCATACCGTTAAATTGTCAATTTTTTTTGGGTACATTGTCCATGCATTTTAATGTTTTGAAACCAAAACCAGCTATGGCTTTGAGCTTCTTGTCAATGTTCTATCCATGTTATTGCTTTTCATATCTGATTACTCTTGGGTGAGGTACAAATTTATAGATTACTTAGTAACATCATGTTAGCCATCAACTTTTAACTACATTGACTGCATCAAGATATTTTTGTAAAAGAAGCCAGGATACATACCTAAGCTTCAAATATCATTATAGGCAAAATGCTTTTTGCAAGTGTAAAATGGATTATCAAAAAGCTCACGCAACTGAGGAGACACCACAGTGCTCAATCATGCCTAAGCTAAGAAGTTTTAAGGGACTACATGAAGACTTAGTAATGAAACCAGCCTACATTAGCTAGAAAAGTAAAAATTATGAGGAAGCCTTACCAAAAAGAACAATACAAGTCTAAGGATTTGAATGGTTATGCAATAAACATAAGAAACAAGGATATCAACTGTTATTCTAGAGAATTGCCTCAAAGGTTTGTTGAAAGAGTTCTGCCATAAAGACTGTGAGCATCATTACATAATGCTATAGAGATGAATAAGGGAAAAACCATCAGCGTAACAAGTGCCTTACTATCTTTTGTTCATAAGTGATTAAACCAAACCAAGCCTAATGTTCCAATCAAGTGGGGTACTACATCAATCCTTTTCACCATTCCTATCTGTCAAGGGATATATGATCAGTTCGATTAAGTAAATTCATATATTTTTTCACTACTACTATTATTGACATGAACTTGAGAAATACTCTAAACTAGAATGCTAGCTGCATTAGATAGACAGCGTTAGCATTACCAATACTTCCAACCAAGAATTCCAGAAGTTCCAAAACATCTGAAGGAATGCCCTTGATAAGTGCTTATCAGCCCTCAAATTATGTCTAGATTGTAGCACAGTTGAATTGAAATCAGCATCTTGATGTCCATAAATTCTAATAATTTTTTATTTGATTTCATATTAGTTTTGTGTCACAATCCATGTGCCCAATTTCATGAAGCAGAGCAAGAGCAAAAAGAGCAGCAAATTGTCTAAATTCTTGGGTTCCTAAGCACCATGCAAATACAGAAAAAATGTCCAGCTTGAGGAAAGGTGGCAAAGAACAAAACAGATAACCAAATATTCAAAAGTCCCTTTATAAACGGCTATAGGCATTCATCAGGTCTAGCGTAAGAAAAAATAAAGGTTACTTTGCTGTTTATAAACTTTTATTTTAGAAAAAGATGCAGATGATTTCTCCATTTAGAAAATATTTTCACATTACATGTATGTTCACAAAAGAGAGCAGTATTGTATATTGTTCTTGCCTTACGAACTGTTGTTACGGAAAGACCTTTGCTCAAAAGTGTGTCAGCAATCCATCCTCCTATATTTGCAAACACAGCCATGGTCAACCAGGGCAACATTTGGATCATAAATTTAAGTACAATTTGTAAAGGAAATGGGAAAAAAAAATATGATAAAAATATAAGCTAAATTTTGATCTCGTTTTTCTTTCCTTTGACAAATTCTTGTCAAATTCATTGAGGCTTGAGAAGTGAAAACGATGCATTACAGAACATCATATCCACGCACAGACAGTGAAGAAAAAAGTGCCTTGAAACAATAGGGATGTCTCATTGTCAAAAATAGGGAGTGTTAGCCTATCAATATCTTTTATCTTTTCTCTATTTTTGTATGTACAGATAAGCCCTATGCTATCTTTCCTATCTTCCCTTGAAATCTGGGTGCTAAGGGACCTGCTGTAGTCTCTAGACAAATAGAATAAGGACCAAAGGCCCAAACTGACATACACTGGCCCTACATCAGCTGATCATGTCCTAATTATGAGAATTTTTTTGGTTCAATGGAGGACGGATGTCATCTAATACTTTTATTTATTTATTTATTGTGATTGGTTAAACAATAGAATCTATTACATTTATTTTAAGTATATAAGAAATAATAGATAAATTATACGTTTGTAATTGGTAGAAGATATCATATAATACTACCACGTGATACCCTCTCAACATAGAAATCATACCACACCATATGTCAAAGATTCGTTTAATTTAAGAAGAATCCATCTCATGTTTAACAACTAAAGCAGTAGAATAGAAATAAGCCATCAAAATTCAAACTTTAACACAAATCCATAACCTTCTGCACTAAAACAAAAACACAAACAGTAATTCAAAGTTGAAATCAAAGGATTAATCACCACCAGACTTCTGATAAACATAGGTGAAGCCACACTTGCCACAATAGTGCCGATCAAAATGATTCACCATGAAAGTCCTAGCACCGTACTCCCCATTAAGGCTAGGTTGGGGCTCATCCTTAAAATATCAATATCGCATATTTAAAAATCAATGATGGACTGCAACAAGTACACATATTCAATCCCATTTAGGTAATAACCTACATGTTTG